TCCTACCAAAAAAAATATATATATTTTTTTTTTTCTATGGCCCTGAAATTGGGTGTGTTCAAGAAAGCCAGTGTGACTAAAGTACAGTAGAAGGAAGGTAGATTGGAGAGAAGGGAGGTGCCAAATTAAAGATTTTTTATATATATATTTTATTGATTTTTTACAGAGAGGAAGGGAGAGGGGATAGAGAGTTAGAAACATCGATGAGAGAGAAACATCGATCAGCCGCCTCCTGCACACCCCCTACTGGGGATGTGCCTGCAACCAAGGTGCCTGCCCTTGACCGGAATCGAACCTGGGACCCTTCAGTCTGCAGGCTGATGCTCTATCCACTGAGCCAAACCGGTTGGGGCGCAAATTAAAGATTTATAGTCAGGGTAAGGAGTTTTTATTTTATCTTAGTGCAATGAAAAGCCATTAGAGGTTTTAAAGAAGGGATGGGGTGAAATGAGATAAATGTGTCCCTATTATTTACAGTTTTAAAATATCACACTAACTGCTATGTGAAGAATGGCTTTGAAGTGTTTAAGAAAAAGTACAGTCCCTTCAAGGACAATGGTAGTTTGGAAGAGAGTGTTGGTAGTAAAGATAGTGAGCAGTGAGTATGAGAGATATTTTGAATGAAGAATGGCAGTATCTATTGACGGATTGACAATAGAATGACAGGAAGAAAGGCACTAGGATAGAACTTGGGTTTTAGTTACTGAGTGAACGAAGTGACATTTAAAGAGATGTAGAAGCTATAGAAGAAGCCGGTTTGGAGCATTGTGGACCTGAGGATCAAAAAAAATTAAATTAGGCATGATTTTTGCTTTTAGGCAAAAGAAAAGAATGAGAATAATCTGGAAATTGTTAAAGGGCAGGTTTTAGATTTAGAATTTCTTTTCCTTTTAAGAATCAATTTTGGCTTAATTGTATTAAGGGCCTTTGATCCAGTAAAAATGCAAATCAAGCTCACTGATTTCTGTTGTCTATCTCTGGGGTTAAAGATAAACTGAGGATCAAGAGTCCTGTATCTTTAAACTTAGAAAGGTCAAAGAAAAAATCAGGAAAGAGAATGAGAAAGACAAGAAAGGCCAAAGAACAAGTACTTGGAAGTAACATATTAAGTCTTAACTGTCTCACACTCTGTCAGTGATAAGAGACTGTTTCTTGAATTCCACATACAACATGCTTAACTGCTTTACAGTATTTTAAACAAAGTTTTAGCTATCATCCTTTAATCCCATTAGTTTAGCCAAAGTATAATGAAAAATCCATGGTTTTTAGAGCTAAATGAACCTAAATTTCAAGCAGGCCCACCACTCAGTAGTCCAGTGACCTTGAGCAAATTACTTACCATTTCTAATCCTTAGTTACTTAAATGTAAATGAAAATAATTAACCCAAGAATTAGCATTAGAAATAACATTCACAAAGTGCCTTCCACCGGGAAAGAATGCTCCATAAACAAGAGCTACTATTATGTAAAAGACACCTAATTCATCAATGCTCAATGCAGTTAGTTTCCCCCTTTGGCAGAATAGATTTACTTCTCCTCTTGTTTCCAGAAAAGAAGTAAAGACATCAGAGGGAAGGGGCCATGTAAAAGATGATCAATTTCATTTTACCATGTAACACAGAAAGAAGTAAAACAGAGAAATTTACAAGTAGCCCTGACATATGGACAATCCACAACTTGTTTAGAACTAGGAATATACTAGTATTTCCCATGGAAGCAATGATCAATTCATCTGTTAAGATGAACTCACAAAGGCTCATCGAAATCATGTGTAGTTAAAATGTGATATATCTCAATGAAATTAGTAGAAAACAAAACTGATGAATCACCAAAACAATTCAGAAAACCAAGAGACTTTAATAATAAGTAATTCATTTCTGTTGGAAGCTGGCACTTGAGAAAAAAGGTTTTATGGGAGGTTTTGGTGGTAATTCAGGGAAATTCCAAAAGATTTATAAAGCTGATGACCCTGGTTCTTTATTATGTCTTATTTCACTTCAAACTGTATGGCTTCCCTTTCTTTCAGCATAAGCAAAACATTAGCACTCATATACTTAATAACCATGATTGCAACCATTTATTTTACAAATGGGAAGGAGTAACTGGGGAAGAATTAGAAGATAGAAAAAAAGGAGTCATCAAGGATGTGCCCAAATATAAAGAAAAGGGCCTTAGATCGAATCAGTAGTGAAAATATGAAAGGTGAGTAAAGCACAGCATTAAATATTAAGGGAGGAAAACCAAGCGATGAGAATTGGTCAGAGTCCCATCATGACTCACTGGTTATTTTAAAGGTCACTGATTACTTTGAAAAAGTGGAAGACAAGACATGAAAACAAGCAAACCAATCTGGAGCCTGCCATTTACACAAAGGAAATGCTCAAGAATTGAAGATTCATAATTTAAAATGTGGCATGCCAATGTAATTCAAGATTTTCTTCTCCATTTTTATTTCTCCAAATTCCTCCAACTATTGCCCATTTTATGTAGATACTATTGTGATAATTGTATATTATATCCATTATGTAGATAGTAACAACAGTATCTAAACTAGAATTAGAAAGATGAATTTTGAAATCGAAAAGTATACAATGAAATGAAGTTGTTTTAGGAAAGTCTCCTCAAAAGCCAGCAGGTATGCTGCATGCCTCTTAGGCTCTGAGGAATGCCAGTGATTTCAAACCAGAGAGAAGCTTTTGATTTCCTCAAAAAATAACAACAACAAAAAAAAAACAAAAAAAAAACCCCACAAATCAGTTCCATGCAGTCCAACTTCTTCAGCAATCTAGCAGATCTTCCTATGAAGAACTGAAATGCTTTTTGAAAATGTTGATGAGCCTGAAGAAATGACTGGTGACGAGACATTGTACTCAGATAAAATATGATTTTTTAGGGCCTACTCTTAAATCCAGGACCTGTATTATTAAGGTAAATGTTTTCAAAACAAACTAACAACAAAGCACATGTAACTATGAGCCAACGCCAAATAATTTAGCCAAACCCAACCAGAAACAAGATGCAATAAGCCAAATATTTTTTTAGATCATTGAAGAACTGATAAGCTTACCTGTCCCTATTGTAAAGAATATATCCTATATAATAAAAGCCTGATACGCAAATTGTTCCACCAGGAGTTTGACCGCTCGCTATGACGTGTGCTGACCACCAGGGGGTGTCTCGGAACATGGCGGGCGTCGGCAAGGCAGTGCTGGCAGCAGGCGGCAGTGGAGGCACTGCCGGCCCCAATGGGCCCCTAGGAGAGCAGGACTGCAGTGGGATGGTGGAGCAGGTAAGCAGGCGGAGCCAGGCCAAGGCAGGTGCAAGCGGGAGCCTGATCGCCCCACCAATCACCCCGCAGACAGTAATCAGCAGATCGGGGTCAGGCCCCAAGCTGGGACAGGAAACTGGGGATGGGTGGTGGCGACCAACCTCCCGCGGCACCTGGGCAGGGGACTGCAACCTCTCTCTGGTTACCTGGAGGCAGGGGTGATGGGGATGAAGGTGCGGTGAGAATGCGGGGTGTCCGCTGAGCTCGCTCTCACTCCCCTTGCTACCCTCCCCCAAGACACCAGGGCTCGTGCTCCAGGGAAGCCCCAATGCTCAGGTGCCAGGCGACCAAGAGGAGCCTGCCCCACACCCATGTGGCCTCTTCAGGGTGAACTGGGCCACAGCCGCTGAGACCGCAGGGGTCGGTCAGGCTCCCCGTGGGTTCGTGCAGGAGCCGGTCTGCGAGGCTGGCCGGGAGAGAGCATGCTACCCACCGGGCTTCTGTGCAGCGCCGTTGGGCGGCCCAGAGGCCCACGCTGCACCCTGGCCCGCAGCATCCAGCTGTGCTCATTGCATCTCCACGGGGGGGACTCGGGCACCGTGACTCAGGCAGAGGGGGGGCAAATGGGGGCCCAGAGGCCCAGGTGCTGCCCAGGGCCCAGAGGTCAACTAGGACCTGCCCTTCCATGCCAGACGCTGGCACTTCAATCACAGGCCAGGCCTAGGAACCACACCCATGCAGGAATTTCAGGCACCAGGCCTCTAGTTTACCAATAAAAGTGGTCACTTTCAAACCAAGAAGATATTTCTGCAAATCACAACTATGTAAACTTTGCCAAATCAAATGCTCTCCAAATGAATAAAATAAGTCTAAATGATCAATCTTAATGAGAAAACAGAACTAAAGAAATGTTCATGTGGGAGGCTACAAAACTTGGCCCTATCGGTGTAGGAATGCTAATAAGATGCTGTGAATTCCTGACTAGCAAGTATTGTCTAATTTCTCTCATATCTGCAAATATCTATCAAGTACAAAATAGTAATGTGATTAATAAAACTGTAGTTATTTTGTTGCCTTGCTAATCCTCGATAGCAATGTACCCTCATACATTTCCTTAATTAGCTAGCACTTAAAAAATAAAATAGTCATGAGCTCCAAGAATATTTTTGAAAATACAGAGTTGAGCAACACTGCCCTGGTACAATTATGCCTAAAACAGCCAAGTAAAATAGTCATTAAAATGTCCTTCAGTTTACCTTTTACTCCAATTTAGAATACTCAGTTCTAACTTCTCACATTCTATTTTCTCTTTCCTAGCAAAATTGGTGATATTTAATATCTTAAGAAAAACAAAAAATTGAAGAGCCTTGTTAAACATGATATCTTTGTTTTAACCATATATGTCCTTAACTTTAAATAAGTGTCATTCAATTCCATACATATAAATTTACATTACATTCAAGCTCAAGAATTCTTAAGATAATTCCTTCTTTTAATTAGTCAGTGATTTCACCTATTAAAAGAGCTATAATTAAGGTCAAATTACTCTTTAAGTTCACTTTAATAACAGAATATGGTAATTCGGCAGAAAAATTCTTCCAGAGTGACAACTAATCAGAAACCTAAACTATTAAAATATTATTTGCTCTATGGGAATTTCTTATTACATATTTACTCAACCATATCTGCTAAAAGACAGAGAAACTCTACCAAAGTTAATTTAAGAACTTACCAATTTCCCTTGCAATTCTGACAGCTTCATCTGCATCCTGTAAAAGCAGGAAATGAGACCCAACATTAATCCCATCAGCCATTGCACAATGTCTTTAGGGCAGTCATATATTGCACCACTGTCTCCTCTGATTCATTTAATGTTCAATTTTACAACCTTCTAACTCTTTTCATTCAGAGAAATGTAAAATTAATACCATAAGTGGAATGTAAATTTTACCTCATCATTATTATATTAAGAAACTCAAAGCAGTTTGAAAGGAGCTGGCAGGAAGCACTACCAGAATTGCCAAATGATTTGGTGCAGTTGCTGAAGTTTAACAGCAGAATTTAGATGTTTACAATCAATACTAAATCATAAATCAGATCATTAAAGCTTGTCCACAGCCAGCTTGTTTTTGTCTCTCTGATATTTATATGTCATGTTTTCCTAGATTCTGTCAGCAGGGGGAGTTGATTCTCTATTGTTAGGAAGAAGCTCAATAGATTTTCCAGAAATAAAAAAGTAAATCCCCAGTATCTATAGGTATTACCAATCGTCATCATCATCGTCCCCGCAACCACCACCAAAAAAAAAAAAAAAAAAAAAAAAAATCCTTGAGAAATATCCATTACTTTTTCTTTCTTCTTTTTTATTTCATACCTTTTCACTATTTTATCTTTAAAAAACAGAAATTCAACAAACCAGCCAGTGGGGGGAAAACTTCCAAAAAGCCAAGAAAAGAACATGCATTCCAAAACAGTACAAGGTAAAAGCTTATGAATGTAAGGATTAGTTACTGCTAATCAACTAATACCACTGAAAAGACAAAACCTTCCCTTGAATCTAAACCATTTCATTGATCATTAACTCTCACCTAACATGCCTCACTTAGGACATTCTTGAAACATTTCCCCATATAACAACAAAGAGAAAGCTGAAAAGAAGGTGTTAAATACATCCTCCTAGTAAATTTAACTTTTTTTTATAAATCAGTGACATAAACTATCACAAGGAATGACAATAATTTTTTGAAACCACTAACTGGTAAGCATGCCTGAATTTTTTAGAAAATAACTTTAAAGTATTAAAGGGAAGGCATTTTTTAAGCTTTTAAGCAAATACTTTAAAAATGTAGAGTAACCAAATCAGAATCCTTCCCCAAAAGTGGGAGCAGGGGATGTTTATAACTGGTTCATTTATGTCTAATAAAAAAAATCTTCTTTAAAAGTCTTCAGTACCTAATAACATCCCCCTGAATAAGGAGGTTGGCAGGGGAAGTTGTCAGAAAAATTTAATTTCCTTTCATTAGCCAGTCTGCTCCACAAATAGGTGCTTGTTAAGTTCAAAGCAGTCCTGAAAGCGACATCAGTTTTAAGTCTTTTTTTTTTTTTTTTTTACTCCAAGCAGTCACATCTGCTAATGAGATTTTCCAAATAACAATTGTTTTCAAGTCAGAGATAAATCTATACCTCCCATTCTACGCCCTTCCCCCCAAAAAATCAAGGTTTACTGCTTTATTACACCTTGCTGTTTTTGCTGACCCTACATTCTCCAAATTTTAGGTTAAAGGTATAAAAATCATGAAAAGGGTCATTTAAGAATGTTAGTGGTTTCCACACATTGAGTTGGAAGGTTCTTTGTTGGAGCCAGTGACAGTTATTGGAGAATACTTCCCCTTAATAGCCTCTCTGTCAGGAAGTGTTAAACCTGCCAAATGCGGACAATTAGTGCCTCGCGAACAAAATACAGGAAGAGTGCTGGCTGATGGAGACTGGATTGTAAGAAGCCAAGAAGGAAACTTTAAACAAGTCTTTTCTTTGAGAAGTGTAATAGTATATTTGCAAAAGATATTCTGAGAGAAAATCAACTGCTGTCTAAAAAGTTCGTTACCTTGAGAGATAAGGCAGATGCTAAAAGATAATTCCTAGAATTCATTAGTCATATTTTAGCATTGAGTATATAGTATATACATATTATGAATGTGTGTATATAAAAAGATATGTTTATACATAGCAAATCTTCTAAAAATTCTTTAACTGCCACAAATCCAACACTTCTATACACTGTCACAAAAAAATCTTATCTTTCAACTAATCACTATTGCTTAAGTTTTCTTACTATGAAAAGCAAATTCTAGTAAGTGAACTTGCAAGTAAAATCAAACTACCTTAAAAATCGACTTTTCACTTGTCATTCATTCATCCAAAAATGTTTTATTGAGGACATATTATAGACTGGACATTAAATATCTATTATCAGTTTCAACAATAAACTATTAAATACAGTCAGCTTCAATACATTCTTCAGGACATTTGGTTTTATTATTGGGCTATATAAAACTAATTTTAAAGAGACAAAAAGCACCATGTAGCTCTCAACTCAATGACACTAACTGAAATATCATACAGTATAACTTCCTTATATGGCTATAGGCAGAAAAAAATTTTAATAAAAAATTAGAATCAATAAAAAAAAGACCAAAAATCATCAGGAAATATGAGCAAATAATTAAATATTAAGTTTACATAAAATAAAATCTAAAAGGATAATATATAAAATATGTTCAACTTTTGTTATAGTTATAGAGAGAGATACAAATTGAAGCAACGAGAGGCACTTTTCATCTGTCAAAGTTTGGTAAGAGGAAGCAGTGATGACCTGAAGGTAAACAAGCATCACACTCACTACTGATATAGTATAAAATGGGGTGATCTTTTTCAAAAGAAATTGTTAGTATCTATCAAAAACTTGAGGACACACGTCTTTCATCCCAGCAATTTCTTTTTTTATAAGTTACCCTACACACACACACACACACACACACACACACACACACACACACACACGAAGAGGTATGCAAACATTCATTATTTTCGTTTTATTGGTGGTGTTCTGATTAGAAAAGAAAATGGGGAAGAGATTAACCAGGGAACTTATATGCATAGCACAGGGACACAGACAATAGTCTGGTGAAGGCCTGGGGGGGGGGCAGGGAGGGTAGGGAGGGGGTCAATGGGAAAACAAAAGAAACAAAGGGTAGATCTGTAATACTTTCAACAATAAAGATAAAAATTTAAAAAAAATAAAATCAGAAAAACAAGGCCTTCAATAAGGAACTGGTACCTTATTTGGTACATATATAAAATGGAATATTACACAGCCTTTAAAAGAATGAGATTGATCCATGCATTCTTATTCATTTATTTACTCATTGATTTAGTAAATATTTACTGCCCAAATACCACATGAAATAGTTGTTGCCCTTGTGAAACTTACAGCCTAATGAGAGGAAAAGAGTAAACAAATTAATTGAGAATTGAAATAAATATTACATGGAAACGAACAGTACTAAGGGAGAGAGTGAGCGGGAGGGACTTCGATATAAACTGCTCAGAAAGGGTCCTTCCTAAGTAAAATTCAAATTAAAGCCTGGCGATAATAAATTCTGCACTCCTACAAAAACAACAGCCAGCCATCACACCATGGGAAGATTTGGAAGAAAAGAACCTAGACAAAAGGAACAATATGTACAAAAACCCTAAATTATCCAGGCACGTAATAGGTTCTAGAAAGAAAAAAAGACCCAAGAGGTGAAACTGAAGCACAGTAAGGAAGTGGCAGGATAAAACAGAGGTAGAACGCCTGGCCTGTTCTGGCAGGCACTTAGGGAATTTGGTAGAGTTCCAAACGCCTTGGTTCTATACAGAGGAATGATGACTCAGGTTTAAGTTTTAAGAAGATAATTCTACAGGGGATTAAGAAGTATAAATTGGTAGTTACAAAATACTCACAGGGATGTAAAGTATCTCACAGTTTAGGAAATACAGTCAATATTATAAGAAGATAATTCTATAAGGGATTGAGAACTAGTTACAAAATACTCACAAGGATGTAAAGTACAGTTTAGGAAATACAGTCAATATTATAATCACTATGTCTGGTGCCAGGTGGGTACTAGATTTATTGGGGGAATCTCTTTGTAACATATATGCTTGTCTAACCACTATGCCATATACCTGAAACGAATACAAAATAATATTGAATGAAAACTGTAACTGAAAATTAAAATTTTTTAAATTAAGCAGAAATACATTTTAGTCAACCTGCAGATGCATAAATAAGGAATAAGTTTTGTTATTCAAGGAAAAAAGAAAATTCTAAATATATGCAAAATTTAATATGTATTGTAGAATGGAAAGTTATCTGTAATAGATACAGTATGACCATATCTACATTAAGACAGAGAAAAACACATTTGGATGCTCATAAAAACTTGCATATGGGCACAAACAAAAAACTCAGCTTTAGTTACTACTTGAAAGCAGTTGAGGAAAGAAAGGAACTTTTACTTATCCTTGTATAACCTCAGATACACATTAAAAACTTACAGCATAAAGATCAAAATTTCATACTACTTTCATAATTTAAAAATTAAATCAATCACACTTAAAGGTGTTGTCAAAATTATCTAATTAATGATTTTCATGGCAACAAATGTTGTTAAAACAAACTAGTATTCCAAAAATCTGCTTACATTTTCCATAGCTCCCCACTGCCTTAAGACCAAATTTAAACTTCTTACCCTGGTTTAAATACTTGATCCTGCTGGGCCACCAGTTTCATCCCGTCAATATCAACTTTGCACTTTACTCCCTACCGCAGAGCCCAGGCCTTCTCCCCAGCTTTTACACATCCTACTAGGCTCTGTCAGAAACTCCCTTCTCTTCCACCTCCCTTCACCAAACCAACTCTATTACTATATGCCATATACTAGGACCTGAAGACATGGGAGGGAAAAAGAAAGGCACCCTCCCAGCCTTCCTGTAATTTACAGTCTAGTGGAAAAGACAGACTTTAACTATGATTGCACAGCAACTAAAAAAAAATCATTATTGAGATGCATGTTATAGAGAAGTAGAGAGGGCTTATGACAGCAGGGATCTCTAATTCAAAATCAGAGTTCCAGGACACTTCTCAGACATAGTGACTCTGAAAGGAGGCCTAAGGAATAAAAGTACGATGGAAGTCAGCATGGCTGGGCCTGAAGAATGAGCC